AAACAATGCTGAATGAATTTATAATATAGTTAGTTTTAATAAACTTAATGGGAATTAATTTTATGAATGTGTATAAATGAATTTTTCAATAATAAACTTTCCATTTCTCGACGTAATGTGTTCTTTGGTCTTCCTCTTCTTTGACCTTCAGGATTCCATGTGAGGGCTTGTCTTGTGACTCAGTTAGGTGATTTTCTCAATGTATGTCTTATCCACTTTCAGCGCTTCTTCCTGATTTCTTCCTCCACTGAAATCTGATTTGTTGTCTCCCACAGTAGAATATTGCTGATAGTGTCTGACTTTATGGATTACTGTTTTAATTTAAATCATAAACAGGTTCCATTGTTGTTTAATAGATATTTATTTTCATAGTTGAAAGCGTGATTCAATTGAAGTCAGACCACTAGGAAAAACCTGGAAGCACTGGACGGCTGTTTCGCCCACAAAAAAACCCCTTCAGGTATTTATTTCAAATTATACATTAATGAGTATCCAACTCAGATTACTTTCAATGTCTAGTTATTTTATTTTGTAAATATGTTATTCAGATTTTCATGTGTTAGACTGGGATTCGAATAGTTTTCTTGACATGATTCGTCAAATTTCACCGTAAGCTATGCAAAACAAATGCTGGGATCTCTCCGAGAACATGATCTGTATTCAAACATATACTATTGAACAAATGCCATTCAAATGTTCAATCCTACTCAACTAGTGATTAGGATGGTCTTTCACGATTACTAAACATTATTACTTACACTTGGATATTTCAAAAGTGTTGTGAATGTCAAATCCCCAGAATTTACTTGATAAATGGCCTAATTTTGTAATTTTATTTTGAAAAGTTGAATTTCGCTGTTTTCGCGCCTAAAGCGCTCTTTCCAGCTTCACGTCATATTTCCCACTTGTAAACTATCCTAAACGCTATTGGTCCGTTCTATCTTTGAGTGTGCTATTTTGTAATGCTACCCAAGGACAATTTATTCCCGTATAAATACGTTTGATTTTTTCTCCTTACGATTGATGTGCTTTTGGCTGCTACGGAATACATTTTCCCCGCTTCCAACTTGGACTTCTTACTCTAGTTAGCTGGGTCTGGGACGCGTCAGAATAGTTAGCTTATCGGTCTCTGATCACAAGTCTTTGTTCCGTTCACTAATTAGTGAATTTGAAACGCTTCAGATATAACAAAAAGAAATTATCTGTTAATTCATGAATGCATGAATCAAGGGATCTCTTGACTAATTATAAATGGATACCTCAATCACTGATTCTTATTATTTCAACACATTTTCAGTTTGAACTATTTTGTACTTTGAATACCAGTTGTTTCTCAATACAGTAGTGAAGGAGAACAAAATGGGAACAATTGAATGTAAATGAACACAAAATTACAGAATCTCTCAGTAAGATCTGAGAATCATACATTAAATACTTCATTTGCAAAGTCAGTCAGTTAGCCATAACGCGGGACCAGGCACACATATGCATCGGTTCAAGTTGCCTTACCTCGTCAGCACAACAAGATCAAAACCGGATTCATAGAAATAGTTAACTTAGTGGTGGTAGTATATAAAAGATAGGTTGTATATAAGGATATAGTATAAAAAGGAAGAAAGTTATGAAGCAAGTTTAATCTTCAGGTTTAAGGGAAGATAAAGAGTGTATGCACATACGCCATTGTGATTGGTTCTGAGCCATGTCACCTAGAGTCTCCAACCATTGGCAACGATAGTCACGCCGACCCCAACCAAGTAGTCTGCATCTGCCAACATGGCTCAGACTAGAAGTTAGTGACTTCAAGCACTGATGCCACGTTTTGGTTTGGCCGCCCCTTCACTTGCAAAATGTCAACCAATTATCTCAAAATTCATCGTTCCTTTATTCTCATACCAATTACTTTCTGTTCTCGTTCTTTCCTCCTTGATCTTGTCGAGCTTTTGGTGCTAGACATTTTATACGTGACGAGCATTATATACTACTTATATCGATATATTTATTTATTCATTTATTTATTAAAAATACATAAATATTGGTACAAGGAAGCACCAGATAAATATGCGTCACACAAATCTCATTTGATTTGTGTGAAGGCTGTGATACTGCTTAGGTACCCAAACTGAAGCAGGTGGCTTTCTTAAGGGGCCACACCCGGAGCCTTTGATCGAAAGATCTGATCCACAAGGCAGTGGAGCTTCGTGAAAAGATGCATTCTCATGGTAGCCGGTGATCAACGATTGATTCATATGCCATTTGTTTCCTCAGGATACTGGAGCCCATGTGCACCATTGGTTTGGAATCAGGGTTTTCCAACTCCCCTAGATGGACTCACCTTGTCCACCAACCCGCTTTTAGTCTTCTCGGCCGTACCAAGGCATTTGGGTGCATATCGATATATGCACCACACACCAAATGGGTAGAAACTGAAGATATCCTTAAAGTTTACTTATTTACAAAAAACGAATGCAAAGTTTGTGTGAAAAAACATAATAACTAAATGTATGTGAAAGTTCTAATTACTTTTCTAGTTGATAAAATTTCTCATCTCATAATCTACCATGTGACTACTGGTTTATCTTAGGTGAAAATGATTTAACTCATATTTACCTGAAGTTCCTTAGCGAGGCTACAATATGTTTAGTCCAATATGTATGGAATGAAATAGACATTACTGTTACTTGTTGAGTTTCTAGGTAATTAAATAAGCTACAGGTGGTACATACTACATGAAAGTACTTCAGTATACTTAGTTAGGAAACAGAATTAGTCTGTTAAAATAAATCTAGAACAAGAGATTTATATAGTTGAAATCATGAGTCGATTGAAGCTAAACCACTATGGAAAACCTGGAAGCACTGAACGGCCGTTTCGTCCTATTATGAGACTCCTCAACAGTGCGCATCCACGATCCCGCACTCGCGAGATTCGAACCCAGGACCTACCAGTCTCGCGCCAGAATACTTAACCGATAGAGATTAAGTCAATGAATTGTGGTTTAGAAGTTTTGACCAGGATATTGTTTTGAATCAACAACTATTAAAGACCTGATTGAAAACCTTTAATGAGACAGATTTTTATTGCAGTTCGGAAACACCAATAGACCAGTGTTATTTTGGGTAGTCATGAATGTCTTAACTAGTGATAAATCAACTTCTATATTCATATTATTTATTTATTTGATGTATGCATGGAATACTGCTTAGCTTCATTGTCTTAGTTTGACATTCCTCGTTGATACGATCCATAAAGTCCTATGAGAACTTCATGTCTTGATGTGGAATTTACAGATGTTCTGGTAGATAAATCTGATCGACGAAGTCATAGTCACATAAGGAAACACTTGCTAACTGATGACAACGAGTAATTAGTACAATGTATCACAAATAAACTAAATAAAGAAAACCAAATAAGAACATCTCAGTTGAACAGTACTGTGTTCAGCATTAAACTTGACGTTTTTAGTTTTATCCTGCGTAGAGCCCTAGATGGGTAGCATTTTACACTCACCCGAAACTGACCACTGCTTCCCGATTTCCAATGCTTCTTACTTAGCTAACTGCTTCAAAAGTAGAATTTTGACTAATGTAAATCTTTTAATATATCAGTCCATATCCATAGTTACTCGTTTCAAGTATTCTGTTAGTTACACTTGGCTTTTATCCTAGTTGTCACCCTTTAAAATTAAATAAAATAAATTGATGTGTACATTTTAAAATTCTTCTGAAAGTATCTTGAAACCACTTTTATTTTCACCACTATCATGGAACTAACATACTTAGTTAGTTACGCTTGTTACCCCTCAGGGAGGAGCATAGGCCAACCATCAGCATTCTCTCAGGATTACAGGTACACCTTGCTGACGAGTGCCAAGTAGCACGAAACCCGGGTCCAGGGTTTCCTGTTGACCACCTCCAACCACCATCTTACATCAGCATTCTCTATCCAACTCTATCCTTGACAATCATTTCCAGTTTTTTCCCGTTGTTATTCATCCTTTAAATGTCTGTTTCCTATTTTATACGTTGTGTGCTCTTTGGTCTTCCACTTTTTCGTTTCCACTCACGACTTCAAGTAAGCGCTTGTCTTGTGATGCAGTTTGATGATTTCCGTAATGTGTATCTTATCCACTTCCAACGTCTTTTCAGTTTCCTCTTCAGATGGTTGGTTTATTCTCTCCAACAGTAGGTTGTTGCTAATAGTATCCGGGAGATGAACATTGAGTATATTGTGTAGACAACTGTTTATCAATACTTGTACATATTTGATGATGATTGTGGTAGTTATCTACGTTTCAGCTCCGTACATTAGGATTGTCTTGACGTTCGTATTGAAGATTCTGATTCTGATATTGGTTGACAATTGTTTTACGTTTCATATATTCCTCAATTATAAGAATACTATCTTTAAATTTACTTAGTATTGTTTGTTTGGATCTTCCCATTGATGTGTTAGGACTGCAACTGGTCAGTCTCTAATTGGCATATTGTGTGCATACTGTGCGTATTGCCTCGATATAGCCTAAATTTACAAGCATTATAAGCAAAGATGGATAGTGGCTTACAGTGGAATCCAGGACGCGCGATGGCAGTTTGAAGCGAAAGTTACTGGGCTCGAGTCCCAGAGTGAACAAGTCTGAGATGTGGCAGGTACATCCAGCTGACGAGTCTCGAATAGGACGGAACGCGAGTCAAACTGGATTCTACTACTAGCCACTATCCATCTTTGCTTACCAATTCTATCTTTACTTTACTAATCCTTACCTTTAAATTAAGCCTATAATCCCTATATTATTCACCAATGAAAATCTTTATTCTAACCTTCTTCTATCCAAATATATCATTGTACAATAATCAATAAATGACCAATGAACAAAAAAGCTATTCAAACTTTAATTTGATTGGTTATTATCAAGGCTAAATATTTTCCCCCAATCTGATTGGTTAAAAATCATTTCTTCTAATAGACTGAATTGATGACAGTAGCAACGTGACGATTAATTACTGTGATACGGTTAAGATTTAAACAAATTCAACATTCAATACCATTGTAAACATTCTTGATATCAGTACAATAGATGTGTAACATCCATTTGTCTTTTATGGATTATTATCATGGATCTAATCAATAATTCATACTTCACAATTGAATACAATTGAACCGGTAAACATGCTTGCTGATGGTGAATATGTAGATGGTTCATGGTTATTATCTATTCATATTGATGATTTAAATATTGATCGTGAAATTCGTGTATATGGTGAATGGTCTATTAATGAATTAATAACACAATTAATTGATGGTTTAACATGTCCTATACCAAAATCACTAAATCCAAATGAAATCAGTTTACGTTCTAATACTGTAAGAAGTAGTTGGGGAGATTATGGATTATGGTGGCCAGCTAGATCTAAATGGTTATTAAAAACGAAATCAAGTTTAAATCAATATGGTTTACAAGCGGATGCCAAGTTACGTTTCTTATCGATCTACGGGAATTTAAATATTCAATTACCAGATTTACAAATACGTGAATTTGTTGATGTAAATTTTGCTGAACCAGTATTTCGTGTTACTTTATCGATTTGTCGTTATTTAAATATAAGACATCCTGAGGAATTATCATTAGCACATTTTATACATCAGAATGATTTGAAACATTCACGTTTTATACCAAGTTCCGTAGATAAACGTTATCATACATTATCGAATACAGGGAAACGTTCAACATTTCAACGTAGTGCCACCATTAATACAACACATTCACAGTATAAAACTCTACGTAAAGAATCCTTATTTCAAACGAATGAAGGTACTCACACTAATGTTAATGATAAACATGATGAAGCAAAATCTGAAGAACAATCCATTAAAAGTTCTACATTATCAAGACATTCAATACATTTATTTGGTCCACCTAAAATACGTGATAAACGTACTCATCTTCATCGATATTCAAGACCAGATTCTGGAAATTTTAATAAAGTACCATTTTCACCAATTGCATTTGATTTACGTATAATAGATGATTCTACATTAGCATTTAGTCCAATAATGAATGTAGATGATGCTTTACAAAAAGGTTACATTGTAAAACCGAATAATTATATACAACGGATTCGATTGAATGGAATTTGGTTAGATTCATCTAAATCATTATTAGAACAAGGTATTAAGATGTCGGGTTATTCTACAGTGACGAATTATCAATTAAATTCACCGTCAGTTAGTCGGCCGAATTCCCCGATATCATCACAAAATGATGAATATACTATACCAACATTAATGCTACGTTATAAATATGGAATTTATTATGATTTAAATATAAAATATGATTTAATACGTATTAATCAATTATATGAACAAGCTAAATGGTCAATTATATCAGAAATTAATGAAGTAACTAATGAAGAAGCCTGTTTATTTGCTGCATTACAATCACAAGTATGTCATTATTACTTCATTCAATATATATATGATTTACAAGATAGTGGAGCATCGTGAGGAGATGCAGTCATATGATAGTCGGTGAATAATAATTGGTTCATATGCCAGTTGTTCTTTCAGTATACTGAAGCCCATGTGCATCATTGAACTTTCCGTGTTCGCCAACCCGGTTAAAGCACTGGACATTCGCTTTTCGTCCTTTCAGTTTCGTAAACAACACTCCGGTAACGAGAAGGCAGTCAGTAGGACTTTCCTGACAGAGGCTGTATGTATGTGGCCATCTGAGAGCATTTGAAGAAGGAGATGTGACTCTCCTCACTCTCGGCCGTACCAGGGCATTCGGGGGCCTGTAATTACTTTTTTTAAACCATAGAAATATGAAAATATTAACTAGAAATTTAGAAGTATATGTAATCAATTTTATAGTTTTATAAAGTTGGATAACCAGACAACAAATATTTATTATCATAGTTAAAAGCGTGAGTAAATTGAAGGTAGACCAACGGTATTCATGTCTAACTTCAACTGATGCAGGAAGTTGAGCAACCGTCCACCAATTGTCTTCAGTGAGTTGATATCTCACGACAAATGTGGCTTGAACTGCACTGGTCACTGCTTCTCACTAGAATTTCTGGATGTACCTCTCGAAGTCAGTCACTAGTGAGCATATGATTATATTAATTATCAGAAGGCGTTTTGTGGAGATTTAGTATTTTAATAGTTGAAAGCGTGAGTCAATAGAAGCTAGACCACCATGGAAAACGGCCGTCAAGTGCTTCCAGGTTTTCCATGGTGGTCTAGCTTCTATTGACTCACGCTTTCAACTATTAAAATACTAAATCTCCACAAAACCCCTTCTGATAATAAATATTTATTATTTATTTGAACACAAATATTGGTACGAAAGGGCACCAAATAAATATGACCCACATAAATTATTCGAATTATGTGAGAGCTATGATACTATTCAGGTGCCCAAACAGATGCAAGTGGTTTTACTGGGGGGGGGCTGCATCCCGAACCTTTGACTTAAAAGTCTGACCCACAAGACAATAGAGCAATGTCAGGAGTTGCAGTCACACAATAGTCCAGGAAATACCTCTTGAAGACAGTCAATAGTGAGCATATGTTAAATAATATCAGAAGGGGTTTTGTGAGAAGCAGTGACCAGTGCAGTTCAACCAGTTCTGTTGAGAGATAGTTACTCACTAAAGACATTGGTGAGTGTGTCGTTCAATTTCGTGGTTCCGTTAAAGTTAGACATTAAAATCGTTGGACGCCGGCCAGTTCAGTGGTCTAGTAGTTAAGCGCTCACGCGCAAGACTGATAGATCCTGGGTTCGAATCTCGCGAGGTGGGATCGTGAAAGTGCACTACTGAAGAGTCTCACAGTAGAACGAAACGGTCGTCCAGTGCTTCCAGGTTTTTCATAGTACTCTAACTTCAATTGGTTCATGATCTCAACTATTAACATTACTATAATATCCACAAAACCCTCTCTGATGTAAATATCTATGTTGAATAATCATTATTTAAAATCATTTTACATCGTTCTTGAATATTTGTAAGTTGAATACCTGTGGAATGGTTAACTTTCTGTTGAGAATTATTGACAGTAACTAAGCATATGACTTTGAATAGTGTTTGTTTTATTATTATTATTACTACTAATTAAGCAAATGACTAAATTCCAAATTTTGTTTATGAAGATCATAATACAATGAAATTGATATTGTCTTAATAAGTCCATAGTAAAGTTATCACAATAGAAATTGTTCTTTCCGCTTCAGTGAAATCGATAATAGATTGAACTGATCAATAGAAGTTAATAATCTATGTATAATTGCTCTCTTTTAATTATTGTACATAATTTACACAATTGAATTGAAGCCCCCAAATGCCCTGGTACGGCCGAGAGTGAGGAGGGTACGCTTTCTCTCTCTCTCTCTCGAAATGCTCTCACATGGCCTCGCGTATATAGCCTCTGTCAGGGAAGTCCTACTCACTACCTTCTCGTGGCATTACTGTTGCTTATGAAATTGAGAGGACAAAAAGTGAATGTCCGGCGCTTTAACCGGGTTGGTGAACACGGAATGTCCACCTAGGGAAGTTGGAAAACCTTCATTTCAAATTAATGGTGCACATGGGCTCCAGTATCCTGATGGAACGAATGGCGGACTAACCTGTCATTGGTCAACGGCTACCATGAAACTGCATCTCGTCACGATGCTCCACTGCCTTGTGGACCAGATCTTTTGGTCAAAGGCTCCGGGTGTGGCCCCCTAAGAAAACCACCTGTTTCGGTTTGGGCACCCGGGCAGTATCCCAGCCCTCACACAAATCAAATGAGATTTGTGCGGCGCATATTTATCTGGTGCTTCCTTGTACCAATATTAATACTTATGTACTTTATAGTTGTGTAAGGTGATGAGACCGTAAACTTCCGTTGATCTCCTGAAACGTTAGTCAGCTTCTTAACTCATATGAATGGAAGGTAAACTTCACTGGATAAATACTGCGCCTGTAGCTCTTCTAGAGTTACTGCCGGTCCCAAGCTCACAAAATGGAGGAGGGTTATGCATGGGGTTAGCGACCCCATCCCGTAGAAAAGCTAACTCGCTAAAAAAACGCTAACTTTTATTGTACTATACCGAAAATACATTAAAATTAGGTATTATTCAGTTTATAGATGTAGTTTGAAAAATACCATAAGATACCATAAGACCACTTAAATAAAAGAACTAGCCATTCAATAGGAATATTCAAACTGTGTAGTGATACGAATTCAATTGTGATAGGACGTTATCGTTAGAAAATTCCGTGACACACTGTTTTCATTCTAGTTGGTACGCGTCACCAGGGCGTATCTACAGTTCTGAGGGAGCTAAAATTCTGCAAGAATCGGACCCTTTTTCACCTAACCTCACAGTCTGAGATTGTATCACTAAGTTACTCGAGCAGTGATTGACCTCTTACAGGACTGAAATATTTGATTTAGTCGACAACCGGATAGTGATGATAAAACTCTATCAATCCAGTTAAAGTATCCAATGATATTTCTAAAAACAGCTAGAACAATGGATAATTCATTGACGCTCAATCCTTATCATAAACATTATTATTATTAACATACATGTACATCCAATGAACGAGTCCTGAATAGGATGAAACACACTCTATGTATTCAACTGATAGCCATTACCCGAATATACTTAATTAACTTTGTATTGTTTGTTTGAATCTTCCCATTGATGTGTTAGGACTGCAACTGGTCACTCTCTAATTGGCATATGTGCATACTGTGCATATTACTGTCTCGATATAGCCTTAATTCACAAGCATGGTAAGCAAAGATGAATTGTGGCTGATAGTGGAAACCAGTTTGACGCGCGTTTCGTCCTATTTAGAATTCGTCAGATGGATGAACATGCATCTCCACTACTCGAATACAGTAACTTTCGCTTCAAACGGCATCGTGTTATCCGCTCGGCCACTGAGTCCCGATAGCCACTTGCTTGTGCCATGGGGTGAAGTTTAAATTCACTTAGTATTGTTTGTTTGGATCTTCCCATTGATGTGTTAGGACTGCAACTGGTCAGTCTCTAATTGGCACATTGTGTGCATACTGTGCGTATTGCCTTGATATAGCCTAAATTTACAAGCATTGTAAGCAAGTGGCTATTAGGATTCAGTGGCCGAGTGGATAACGTGATGGCGTTTAAAGCGAAAGGTACTAGGTTCGAGTCTCAGAGTGAACATCAACAAGTCTGAGATGCAGATACATCCATCTGACGAGTCTCGAATAGCAAGTAATGCGCATCAAACTGGATTCCACTACTAGCCACTATCCATCTTTGCTTAGAATATACTTAATGTTATTAAAAGATGTTCATAATGATACTTTTTGTTCTACCTTTCCATTTCATTTAGTTACGTAATCGACATGTATATATAACTGTTAAGAAAATTCTAAATTTCTCTATGTTACCCACTAGATACACATGACATACGTCTACATAGGAATTACATTCCTAAAATATGTGTTGATGTATAGATATATATGTACATGTAATATCGTAGTATAACAATCTTATTCTGAATAATGGACAATGATAATAATTATAAGCTAATTAAATACCAGTTAATATCAGATTCAATAATCTATTTATATTACGTAATTATGTAACTAGGTAATTAATAACTTACTTAGATTAAGTTAAGTACCATATTCCCACACAAAAACATACACAAAGCCACTTGGATTTCACCGGATCACACTACACAAAATCAAATCGACCATATCTACATCAACAAAAAGTTCAGGAGGACGATGGAGGATGTGAGAACCAGAAGAGAAGCTGATATAGCATCCGATTATCATTTGCTGGTCGCCAAGATGAAACTAAAACTCAAGAGGCACTGGACAACGGTGCAGACAACATCACAAAAGTGTAATACGGTCTTTCTTCGAGATGCTGACAAACTCAACAAATTCAACATAGCCCTCAGCAACAGGTTCCAGGCCTTTCATGATCTACTCAATGGAGAGGGGACTGCCGTGGAGAGCAACTGGAAAGGTATCAAGGAGGCAATCGTTTCAACATGTCAGGAGGTTCTGGGTCAAAAGAAGCACCATCACAAGGAATGGATCACTGTTGGTACACTGGATAAAATTGAAGAAAGGAGGAACAAGAAGGCAGCAATCAATATCAGCCGAACCAGACATTGAATAACAACGAAACAGGTGGGTAGAACACTTCAAAGAACTCTTGAATCGACCAGCTCCACTGAACCCACCCAACATCGAAGCAGCACCCACGGACCTCCCAATCGATGTTGGCCCACCAACAATTGAAGAGATCAGCATGGCCATTAGACAAATCAAGAGCGGCAAAGCAGCGGGACCAGACAACATCCCGGCAGAGGCACTGAAAGCAAATGTAGCAGCAACTGCCAAGATACTCCACATCCTCTTCAGTAAGATTTGGGATGAAGAAC